AAATCAATTTTGTGAACTGATTCTACAACGTGTAGACGAGCTACGGCTGGTGATTTTTCAAGCATTTCTAGTTCACTAACTGGATTTCTCGGTAGTCGGTGGAACAGATGCTCTGTGATGTTAATTTCTTATGATCTTGATTTCTCTCTGAAGAGATTTTTCCGATGTATGTCGTATCACATTACAAGCATTTCATTTTGTAGACACAATTAGATTGAGAATCCTTAAGGATTTGGTTTTTTATATGGACAAGGTTGCTTCGCAGTGTGTCTGATGTTTTGAAGAAAACTCTGATGTCGTCTGACGTCTCTAATCTATATGGAATGAAAGCTGTTGAGGCCCATTTTTTCGGAATACGTTTTCGACCATACTTAATTTCAGTGTTCATTTTGTTGAAGAAGTTCTTTGGGTATTTGTTGTGCTTGAAACTCTCAGTAATGTTTGATATTTCTTCTTCTTTTTCTTTCTCATCCGTTAACACTAAAGAGTGTTCTCGTCCAAGAGGACTTGAAACAACTGTTACCTTTGAACTGATGGCATGTGATAATTCGAAGTTTAAATATTTGTTGGGTGGTTTTCTTCCTGAATATAGATATACTTAAATGTCTGTTTCCTCCCCCCCCTTCTTAACTAGACAGGCAGTCTAGAAATGGTACTTTCTCCTGTAGAACTTAAACTTATCAGTCCTTCCAGGCTTTGTCCTTCATGTCGGATATTAGATATCAGATTACAAAAGACTGACTGATCAACCTATTTTCTTGCTCCCCTTAGATCTCATCAGCCCGAAGTATTTTCAAACTTTGACAAATTCTTGGTCTGTCTTATCATCCTGGCTAGCATCACCCATTGGTTAAGTTAGTGTGACTGTACCACTAGGCTCCTCAAAGAATAAAATTACTTCAAAACCAATTGAGACAAGATTAGATCTTTAAGAGAAGCTCCTTGAAGGTTTTATGTGTACGCCTTACTCACAAGTGCCAACAAATATGAAGACCAATTCCAGTGTTGATGTTGTCATGGTCTAATATCAGTTAGAGAATCATTGAAAACAGAGAGATTGAGGAAAGAAGATGGCACACTAAGGAGTGTGTATAGGAAACCTACAACAACAGGTCAGTACACTCATTTTCTGAATTTTGTGCCTTTGAAATATAAACGTAACCTGGTAAAGTGTCTGGTTCATACAGCTAGGTCAGCCTGTTCAGACAACTGCCTCAATGAGGAGCTTAAGATTATTAAAGAATTACTTAGAAAAAATGATTATCCATATAAATTCATTGAGAAAAATGTGAATTCAGCGCCAAGGAGAGTCAGTATGGTAACAGTTCCGAAAAAACCAATGTTCATAAAACTGTAGTTCCTCGGTGACAACATCAGCGGAATAATAACACAGTGCCTGGAGAATACAGTTGAAAGAGCTTATTATGCAGCAAAAGTACGTTGTCTCTTCACACCCACCCCTATTCTACGTTCGAGAAATAAGGATAAACTACCTAAATTTGCCTCTTCTATGTGTATCTACCAGTTTGACTGCAGCTGCGGAGCCAGCTACATCAAACGTAACATTAGTCAGGTTCATCATCGTATTTCCGAAAATCATCCAGCATGGTTAAGCAAGGAATAAACAAGATCTATTCGTAGCTCTATTGTGGCACACCTTGTAGATAGTGAACATAAGTTTGACGTTAATACTGCATTTAAAATTATTTATTGCATTCCTAATAATCTTAATTTTGCTCTACGAGTTCGTCTTCTACAGACAGCTGAAGCAATCGGAATCCACCTGAAGAAGCCAAACCTGTGTGTTCAGAAGAAATTTGTACAGCCACTTTCCTTACCTTGGCCATCGTTACATGAATGTATAAACTGGACTACTTCTCCCCCCTCCCCCTAAACCTTTAAAAACTATAAAAATTATAATTGTCCAAATTATTTTATTTTATTTTTATTTATTTTGACCACTTCATCTTTAATTACGTGTTATCCTTGTAAAATTAATTTATTCTATCCATTTCTACCTTTTAAGTGTGTATTGATTTTCTTCGTTAATTATCAACCCATTGACATTTTGACACTGTTTAATTATTGTTAACAAACATATCAGTGCCACTTGATTGGTAAACTGTTGTGTATTGTAATAAAAATGCTATGGATATATATTAGAGTAGAGCCAGATAGAGATAAGGATCTAATTGAAAAGTAAATATTTCTTCGCTCAATCTTTCTGCTTTCTAAATGTCTAAATGGGGAATTTTCCTATATTGGAACCATTGAAAACCAGGGAGCACTGAACAGCTGTTAAATCCCAATTTCGGATTCTTCGGAATGGCACACCCACAACCCCACCACCATGGATCGAATCCAGGAACTTCCTCTTACGAAGCAAAGCTCATTGGCTGTCCAGCTACTGGACTGGAAGTCAAAAACTCGTAAACTCTAACTCCTGTCAAGTTGTGATACATCACCACCGCTAACCTATGACATCGATAAGTATGGAGATCAACTGTGACAAAAGAAGTCTTCCAATTAACTGCTAAATTATATACAGGAAAAATAAAGTGTACTAACCTGAGTAGCATTGTCATTCCAGTTACCTGAGTGCTTACACTATGCCTCCGATCGAAAATTTTCGATTAATACGCTTAACATTTTATACTACTGATTCAGTGTATGAGTAGTTGAATAACACTGACACTAACCATCAGTGCTTGCTAGCCAAACAGATCTGAGTGATCCAACCTCTGGATAACAGTTTCACTCGTTTCGAACCAACCTTGCCAACAGCGCACCCAGTTTGGCTCAGCTCAGACAGCCATATCAGTACAAACCACAAGAATTCTGATGAGCTGCTGGGGCCAACTGGTTTAAAGCTTAAAATGATTTGTTTGATGGTCGCCAGCAATAGAATCTAAGACATGTGTTTCGTCCTATTTTTGACTCCTCATCTGCATGTGCTTCCTCCACCCCACCCTAGTGAGTAATGGCTTTCCCATCACCAAATAAGGAATTTCAGGCTTATTAATCCTGATATTATAGAGGCGTCCATTCAAGATGCCAATATACAAAAATTGCGGATTATATACACTGGGTCATAGGAATAAAATTTTCCACGAAGTCATCAACTAGGCTGCAGATTTTTGAATATATAACAAAGGGGTGATAAAGTTCTAGAAATATTTTTCGACCAAATATCAAATTATAACGAATAACAAGCTGAAAATTATGTAATTCGAATAGGGATTAAAAACGCGGCAATAAAATAATAAACGGGAAGTTCAGATAAAAATTATTGATAAAATTGACTGTTTATGACATTCACGATAAAGACAAGAGTTAGACATACTTAGCTTGTATTCTTCTGGATCACTAATGAATGCTTCAGCTATGCCCAAATTTCTTGATCTCATTTCCATTGAGAGGTTTGGTCGGATATTGTATAAGACTTTGAAGGGTTTCTTTTCCAAATGGATCTAAGTGTCTTGTTCAATTCGGCGTCAGAACATCCGGTGGAGTTAGGATACTCATCTCTATTTGAAAAATCCTTCAAAATCCTATACACCATTTTGATCAAAGCTCTCAAAAAGAATAAGGTCAATAAGTCTGAGCATAGCTGAAGCATCATAGATCGAAAAAAATATAAGCCAACGCTATGCATCTAAACGTTGTAGGTCCAACCTTGGTCTTTGTGATGGCCACCATAAACAGTCAATTTTTTATCCAAACTCCCAGTTTATTTTTCTTATTATAACATTTGTAATCCCTATTCGTCTCATATAATCAAAATCTTGTTATTCGCTATAATTTGATCTTCGATCAGGGATAAATCCAAAACTTTCTCTCCTCTTCTTTGTTATATATTCAAAAATGTGTAACCTAGTTGATGACTTCGTTGAAAATTTTATTCCTATAATCCAGTGTTAATATTCTGCAATTTTTGTATATTGGCATCTTGAATGGGTACCTCTATAATATCAGGATTAAGAAGCCTGAAATCCCGTATTTGCTGATGGGAAAGCAATTACTCACTAGGGTCGGGGGGGGCGGGAAGTACACGCAGTGAGGAGTCAGGAATAGGACGAAACACACGTCTCACATTCTATTGCTGGCGACCATCAAACAAGTCATTTTAAGCGTTAAACCAGTTGGCCGTAGTAGCGAACCAGAATTCGGGTGCTTTGCACTGATTCGGTTGTCTGAGCTGAATCGAATTGGGTGCGCTGTTGGTGAGCTTGACTCGAAACGAGTGAAACTGTTGTCCAGAGGTTGGATAACTTAGATCCGTTTGGCTAGCAAGTACTGCTGGTTAATGTGAGTGTTATTCAACTACTCATACACTGAATCAGTAGTATATAATGTTAGGCGTATCAATCGAAAATTTTCGGTTAGATGCATAATGTAAGCACTCAGGTAACTGGAATGACAATGCTAATCAAGTTAGTACACTTAATTTCGTCTGCAAATAATTTAGCAGTTAATTTGAAGACTTCTTTTGTCACAATTGGTCTCTATACTCATCGATGTCATAGGTTAGCGGTGGCGCCATATCACAACTTGACAGGAGTTAGAGTTTACGAGTTCTTGACTTCCAATCCAATAGCTTAGATGTTAACTTCTGCAAAAATATACTTTTACGACTAAAACATCCGGTTCGTTCTAGTTTGGAACTCTTCAGCGGTACTCACCCACAGGGGATTTGAACCTAAGACCTTCCTGGTGTAAGGCAAACTTGTAGATCATCCAGCCACTGGGTTCCAGTCAGCCAAGAATTCCAACTTCTACCAATTCCCAGTGTATGTATAGCGTCACTGCCAGTCCCGCAACCGGAAGGCTTTCGGTTCGGACCCCCGTAGGATGGGTGCATACTGATGAACTGAAGAGTTCCAAAGGTGGAGGACGAAACAACTATCCACTAGTACCCTACTACTGCTTTTCCAATAGTTCTCATCAATCGAATCCCAGAAAACTAACACTTTTTTAAAAAATTAAAAAAGGTGATCTACCTGTTTCTTTTGTGCCTCCTTCTTCTGTTTTCTTTTCTGTTTCTCTTTTTCCAATAACCAATTTGCCCATGCTGATAGTTTATTGTCTAAATCATTTAAATTTTTTGCTTGATCCATAATTACATTACTACACTGTACAAGTTGACTGACTTCTTTATTGATTGGTGATTTCCTCTCTAGTTCAGAATCACTTTTATTCAGTAGCAAATTATCACGAACACTTTCACTAATTAAACATTCAGTTATATCATATAGATCAGAAGTTAGCGAATTATTCTGCGGTGATGAAGTTTGATTATGATATGATTGTTTATTTTTATTAGTAGTATATGCATTTGATGATAATTTTCTTTTTAATTTGTCAGTAGGATAGTCTGTCCTCGTTTGTTTCATTTGCATTCTGTAGTTATAGTAGCAGTAGCAAGAGAAAATTAAAACTTGAATTCTGATTGGTTCATTATAATAAACAAAATGGCGGTCAATTTAAAACACCAAAAAATATGCAACATATGCGAAACTTATATGTATACCTTTTTGGAAGAGGCAGTGAAGACAGGGATTCAAGAGAATATAAAGGTAACAGAGGTGATGAAGATATCTAACCAGCAACAACAACAACAACGAGCACTAATCACCACCAACGGTAGAAACCTCTTCCACTTGCCTGGGCAGTATCCGTTCTAACTACAGCCGGCAAATATGAAGATGGGGAAAGCAAGATAGTCGTTCAATACTCTGAAATGAGTCTGCGAATCTACTGTACTCAGCACAAAGAACAAGATCCACACGAGTTAACGAAAACATTTCTCACAGCCTACTTCAGACTTTCCCGAGCAGCTGCCTTCACTGCATGCTGAAACTCACATGGCCGGTCAAAAAAAACAAGGATATACCACCCATAAGAAAATGCAGGTGGGTTGAACGTACGCTGAGGAGATCGCTGATTGAGACGAGACGCCAGGCCCTTGAATGGCATCGGAATGGCAAACAGTGATGGATTTCAAGTCATTTGGGTATATTTAAAGACAAAACGGATATCCAGAAAAGTTCACAAAGTCAACATAGTCTATAAGAATCGTAAATATGAATCACTGATGGCAGGGAAACAGCTCTTACCTTCTAAACTACATTTTAAGAATGATATATATATATATATATACCAAGGGAAAGTTAGAGACATAATGTAGCACCAGCAAGTGAACCTGTATGGAAGAACACTAAGACTCTGTGAAAACGATATTAAAAGAAAAGTTTATGGTCGCTTTAGAAAGAAATAAGAGACAAGACGAGGAATGGCTCTCTAAGGACGCGTGGAAACTAATAGAGGACCTGCGCAAAGATGGAAGCTGAGTTCGATGTGCAACGCACCGAATAAAGAAGTGAACAAGAGTGCGAGGAGAGACAAAAGACAGTTCTACGACATACTGACAAATGAATCAAAACAGGCTGCATGCAAGAGGGACCTCAGAACACTCATCTAGAAATACCACCAACAGCTATAGAACTACCATTGAACACCAGACCTCCAACAAAAGTGGAAGTCTTGAATGCAGTCAAGCTAATGAATTCCTGAAAGGCATCAGGATCAGATGGAATTCCCCCAGAAGCAGTGGAATTGGATTGCGGATATGATTACGCCACTGTTGTTGAAGGTTTAGGAGGGAAAGAAGATACCTATGGATTGGAAGTAAGGCTACCTTGTCAAACTACCATAGAAGAAGGACGAAGTAAGCCCTGATGCAGAATCATGCTTCTGTCCTCCCCAAGCAAAATGTTAAGTCGTGTCATCCTGGAGACACTCAAAAGATGTTCTGGATGCGAAATGGGAGACGACGAATTGGTCGTCTGAGAGTGACATGGAGAAGATCATGTGCGGAGGAGATGAAAGCTCACGGGCAGTCACGACGCCAGCTGAAAAGATTGCAGAGAATAGGATGAGATAGAGGTGTCCTTTTGAAGCTCTGTGTTCCACTCCGAATGCAAACGAATAATCATAATGCATATGAAAATTCCATCGAACTTTCTAACTAAAATTTATTGAAAAGAATCCTCTTCTCTGAATTATTGTTATAAGATGGTTGGAGGCAATTGGCAGGAAGCCCCGCCTGATCTAAGTTTCGTGCTTGTTGGCACTCACCAGTCAGTAAGGCGTATCTGCAGTCTCGAAGGAACAAGTCATATCCCTTCTGAGATCCGAAACCACGTCAACCAGTGCTGCAGTCAGAGACGTTACCACTGAGCTATTCGAGATCTCGAGTGAGAAAGCTTCGTGTGCTCTTGGAAGTGTGTGGGCGATTGGTACTTCCCGGCTGCCAGCACCGTGGAAGTTGGTTGATTCTTCGGGTACTTGAAACAGAAAGAGGGTTAGTGTTGCGTGACCGCAGAGCCCAGGTGACAACTGCTTGAGGCCCGTCACACACGGCCTGTATGAACTGGTTTTTTGGTTTGGTTCCGTATTAGTAAACTTACCGCCGGTTACGGACCACCGTAGATGGGGTAAGCCGGGATTTACAATTTTTGGGGTTGACCTTTTCTAACCACGTCTCTCCAGAGTGGAGAGACAGCATAGCTGGCTGGCATGCTGGCCATCTGAGGGAAACACCTCACTGCTGTTACATCCCTGTTCCCCAGCAGTACAACTTCGCCCACAGACCCCCAGCATATTGTAAAGAAAAAATTTCTTACACCACACCGCTAACTGCTTTCAGTATAATCGCTATCCTAACAACCTTCCTGGCATGGCTGGACCTGCAGTAACAATAGTTCCAGCCAGTGTAGCTTGTTGGATCATTGCGATGTGCAAGGCCGACCACCACTTCAAAGTAGCAGCTATCGGTCGGGTTCTCGAGTGACCTCCTGTAGGACTGTATTGTATACTTTAATTGGGCACTAGTTAACAACTAGTATCAAAATACTGTTTGTGATAAAGCAGTTGTTATTATCATATGTCTAGTTCTTTTGTTTGGTGCAGACTGAATTCTATCAGTCAAGTTTGCAATGTGGCCGCCAATCTAGGTGGCTCGCCATCACGATGCACTCACCTGCAGCTCTTCGTTAATTAGTCAATCTACAGAAATGTATATACACTAAGAGTAGTACAACTACAGGTGGTAGGAATAATGATGTCAAAGCTTGGATTAGCAAAGCAAGACAATAGTTCATTACTCTGTGGAGATCCTCAGCACTTAGTATGAGGAACAAGATCTAAATTTTAAACACTAATATAGATATGAAGTTAACTGGTGGATGGTGACTAGCAGTGGAATCCAGGATAACGCGCATTTCGTCCTATTTTGGACTCGTCATATGGATGGGCCTGCATTCTGCGGTGAGTAATGTTGTTCCCACCGAGGCTCGAACCCAGTGCCCATAGTTTCAAACGCCAAAAGCGTTATCCACTAGACCACTTTGGGCGACGAGAGCCACCTCTTGTGCAATGAGTCATATTAATTATTGAATTCAATTTTAGATTTTCCCGTCGATTGATTGGACCGAAGTGCTCAGTCTTGAAACTATTAGCACTGGGTTCGAGCCTCGGCGGGAACATCATCACTCACTGTGCAATGCAGGTAAATCCAACTGACGAGTCTCAAATAGGACGAAATGCGCATCCTGGATTCCACTGCTAGTCACTATCCACCAATTAACTTATAACTACATACCCAGACATCGCCGAAGAATCTTCACAAGAAGCCGACATGTCAACCTAAGACTGAGCACTTCGGTCCAATCAATTGACGGGAAAATCTAAAATTGAATTAAACTAAATAGATATGGTTCAAACACTTGGTGCACGCATCACCAAAAGAACTTCCAACAATCTTCTACGGCCTTTCATCAAAATCTGTTTCCTTCTCTGGATGCTGAAGAACAGATGTCAGGCTGGAAAGGATAGGCAAGCAAAAAGGAACTCTTGCAAAAAGCTAGCCAAGAATCTATTACCCAGAAAACATACAGAAGGGGCTGGAGATGGATTAGACATAAACTATTTACCTGTTTTTATGCCTCCCATATTCTGAAGTAACGCAGACGGAGCACAGACATTCATATGGTCCAGAAGAACAGCTACACATTTTTCCAGTCTATATGAAAACACAAAAAGACAATATTTATAGATCATATACGAAAAAATTATTCACGAAAACAAAATTTTTCATTGTACTCTGTTATAAATGAATCATAAGAAACATTTCTAAACAGAAGAATGATGTCTGATGAAACTATAATAATGTAAATTGGTTGATTCAAAACTTTTAATGTTGGCAACCCCACTAAGTATATTCAAGAGTTAATATTAAGATACACACTAAGCTTTTAGTTATTAATTAATGTTAAAATATATCGACATAATGACGGAGTGGTTATGAGGTCTTCACTCGGTTCGTTGCTTGATAACTGTTTTACGGCATATCTGATGTTGAGCGCCATACGAATGACCATCAGCGCGTTCGTGGTACATAGGCAATACATGAAAAATATCTGTACCACCATGAACGAAGATGTAAACTCCTTTAAGTCCTTGATACTGCTCATTCATCAACTGCTTTTACGCTAGAAATTGAGTCAGAAGGCAAACTTCCCTTCCTAGCTGTTCAACTTTCTAAAACGGATGGGTCACTTCTAAAACCAATTTGTTACATGCTAAAATGTTGCGAACAGTTGACCAAATTTCATAGTTTTGTCCCAAATAGTAGAAGAAGAAATCCTTGGTGACCGCTTTGTCACCACAATTTATCGCATATGCGCGGAAGATGCATTAAATAGGGGATTGCAATCTTTACAAAACACTGTCGTTCAGAATGGCCACCCACCCTCTTTTTCCGACAAGTTGTGATTTCCTGACTAATTTAAGATTACCGAAAAATGAGTTTATTAAAAATATCAGATTAAAAAGTAAAACGACATTTGAAAGTCTCCGAAGTTGTTTAGCAACAGCAGTTAGCAAAACGTTCCACTCTTTTTTTGAAGAGAGCTGAAGGGCAACAGTGATACGTCCACGTTGCAAGAGGACCTCAACAAATTGTCAGAGTGGTCCATAGAATGGATGCTCCCGATAAATGTGGCAAAATGTGCAACCATGCGCATTAGACAAGCAAGCACGAGTTCCTACGAACTAGAGGGAATAACACTCCCATCAGTTCAGACTCACTTGGACTTAGGTGTCATAGTTAGCCACGACTTAAAAACTACAGCACACTGTCGCGCGGTGGCTGCACGTAGTTTCAGGTCATTATGGGCAATTCGCAGAGCCTTCACTAGAATCACCAGAGATATGTTCACCTCATTATATACATCTCTGGTGAGGTCAAGACTGGAAAACTGCATCCAGGCCGCCATTCCTTGTCTAAAAGAGGACTCACACATTCTAGAAAGGGTTCAAAGGAAGGCAACACGTATGGTTCACGGCATGACTAACTTATCATACAAGGAAAGACCATACATATCATACCGTAGGCAGAGAGGAGATTTAATCACAATGTTTAAAATTTTAAATAATGACTACGGACCTGACCTATTCTTTTCCTTCCCACCAGGTCGGAACACCTTAGAGGACATAGTAGGAGAGTTCAAAGGCCAAGAAGAAATCATATTGCTGTTGAGTACTGGTTCTCACACCGAGTCATAAACTCTTGGAACCGACTCCCAGAAGAAGTGGTGTCTGCAACCTCAACTGATTCCTTCAAGAAAGGTTTGGACAACCACAGAAATTTACTAGAAAAGGATTAACATAGGCTCCAAGCCTTCTATCCTCAACCAATAAATCTGAATCTGAAATAGTGGATTGTAATCTTTACAATACTCACTCTCTATTTTTCGACAAGCCATGATTTCCTGAATAATTCAAGATAATCAAAAAATAGTTTACTAAAAATCTCAGATTAAAAAGTGAAACGACATTTGAAAGTCTCCGAAGTTGCTTATCAACAACAGTTAGCTAAACGTTCCACTCTTTGCATGTCTGAGTCTCATTTCATCCAAATATTATGTTGTTCGTCAAAACTTCTAACAAAAAATTTCAGTGTTCGTCATATTTACATATGGGTATAGACGATAAATTTAGAGCATTTTCTGAACGTGACCATGAGAATCTTCCAATATTTAGGTTAAAAAGACAATATAGACCAGCCAACAGTCTAATCTATGAGCATAGTATTTCTGGTAAAACTACAGCTGTGAAAAGTTCCTCCATTGAGCCACACAAGGTAAGGCCAAGCCACTATTTTCCTTCTCTTGTATACAGTTTACCATATATTTTTATGACAGACATTGACCTTCGAATTCTATGGGCATTTTATACAGTATTTTAAAATTGTTATTTAACTCCACAACCTTAAAAATAATATACAAAGATACTCCCCCATAATGATCTAAACTTATATGAACTTCGCATTCTTGACATTTAGACATATTGGGACATAGGTTTAATAGAAATGTGTGTTGCAGAAAATGAAAGGACACGAGGGAATCATATTACTTTTCTTCAGAAACGAATAAATAAAATTTGGGACAGAAGACTCGAAATCAAAGATTTTCTAGGAGACTTACATGTCGAAGTTCGGATGACTTGCACCTCCTTCTGCAAACAGTAATAACACCTTTTCCATAATTCATTCGCTCAAATTCTGTCCTTTTCGATAGTGGTCGCCGAGAAACCTTCCGTGCCAATCCATTACGTGGACTTATACAGTGAGGCACAGAAATGCATCTAACTCCGGACGATCCCTTTCGTGTTATGAATTTTTGATATTGGTTTGTCGTTTCCCTTGAATTTCCTCTCCGACTACGGTGGGAAATATTTGTATCACAGCTAAAAGATAATTCCTTTCTCTAAATTACCTTGAGGATGATAACTGAAGATTACTATCATCTGAGGATAGATCACTAATGTCATCACAATACTTTTCCAAATAAAGCTGTGCTATTAATTCTGTACTATCGTTATCGGAACTATCTGAGTTTTCATAGGTATCACTTTTAACTGAAAAATCATCAGACATCGTATTTTCCTCAAACAAATAGGCAGACTTCATCATAAAACAACTTCACAACAGCTTGGAGTAATTCTTGAAAACGCACAGCTTACAGGACGCATTTGTTCAGTTTATAAAAAGAATGTTCAATGCTCAATAACAACGCAAAGATTCAGCTTTAGATAACAAAGATATAAGGCCCTCGTTGCCTGTGTTAATTCTCGCGATATATATTTCTGCAGATATCTAGTTTTTCTTTGAAAGCGTTCACCGATGGAGCTGTTACTACTGAATCAGGTAAGGAGTTCTAGTCATTGACCACTTTGTGAGAATATCTAAATTCCACATGTATCTTGTTCGACCTCGGTTTGAGCACCTTCTTGTGATGACCTCGTAAATGTATTCTAGAAGGGGAGAAAAGGTTTGAAAGGTCAAAATCCTAGATCACTATTTATATACGGTATGCCAAAATTAAGTCGCCTCTCTTCCTTCGTTATGATAATGAGAAGACACTTAAATGCTCCATCTTCTTATCACAAGGAAGTCGTAAGATACCACTAACTAATTTGGTTCCTACCCTCTGTGCCCTTTCCAGGATATGTGTCTCCTTGTTGAAGCGTGGACACACCACTTGTACGCAGTATTCTTGATGAGGCCTGATATATGTTGCATAAAGTACTTGGAACATACCCTCGTCTAATCGTTTGAAAGCCCTTCAAAGTGCTCATAGCATTCGAAAAGCCTTATCTGAGGCTCCGTCACAATTCGCCGGTGTTTAAAGTCATTGCTTAAAATAATTCCTAAGTCCTTTTGTCCCTTAACATCTGGCAATTCTGTGTCCCCAGGGAGTACGACGTGCATTACCGTGCTTTTCTTGGAATCAATTTCCAGACTCCAGATGCTATCCCGCTCGGCTAATTTATCTAGGTCGTTTTGTAGTACCAACCTATCATCATTATCATTTATAGTTTCTCCATATCTTAACATCATCCACAAACAGTAAAGAAGACGAGGTAAGAAATTTCGGACGCTCATTTATGCATAATAGGAATAGCAGGAAGCCAAGGACAGTAAAAGTACTCCACTTATTACTGCTTTCCACCCTGACAGTACACCACTAACCCTTACCTTCTGTCTTCTATCCATCAGGTAGTCGCTAAACCACTCACATAAGCGTTGATCTGACCCAAAACCTTTGTTTTACTAAGGAGACATTAATAGGATGCCTTATTGAACGCTTTAATAAGATCGACCCAATCTCCCCTAGCTAACAGTAAGTTTGCCAGGCAGGATCGTCCTGGTCAAAATCTATTCTGTTCCACCACCAATAAGCCATGCTTCTGCAAATGAGCTACGAGCTGATCCGTTATGACTGTTTCTAATACCTTTGCTATAACGCAGGTCATACTTACTGGCCGGTAATCAGATACTAAATGCCTGTTCACCTCTTTAAGGATGTAGCTTATAAGGGCACTTTTTTCAATCCCTGGGTAGCCTAACCTGAGTCAGAGACATCTGAAAATCCCCTATAAGTAGAATGTATATTATATCTGCCAAGGGGATTAGCAGCTTAGGGTGATTTACCTGGCTTCACTTAAGACGGTAGTTTGAGAACCACTGCGTCCTCCACCACAATTGTAGGAATTTTAGTGGTGACAGCAGTGACCACGCTATACCCCTGAGTGATACGATTAGACGAAAAGATATGGCAAAAGTACTCTGAGGGCTTTTCAGTTTTTTTCATCTAACTCGGCCGCCACTCCAATATTGCTTATGAGTGACGGGATACCACTGTTAGTTTTAGTCCTACGTTTGATATACGAGTACAGTCCTTTTGGATAATGCACACAATCTAGTACTAACTGTCTGCCGTGCTATATGCGACTTTTAATGAGGTGCCTAATTTACTTCATGAACTTTTACTGTTGGACATCAGTTGTTAATTGGTCCTATGGTTCACAGTTTAATACCACGTACAAGTGAATTTAAGGAATCTGATCCAAAATCAGGAAGTAATACAAATGCTACTGTGAATCGGACATCTGTACCTGAACAACTCCAACGTAGACGTCGCCATGTTACTGTTCACTAACAAGCTTTAGGAGAAAGCTGCCTGTTTTATCCAACACAAAACATCGTCCTAAATCAAATGATGATAGGAAAACTTCATTCAGTGATCATCCGAAACGCAGATTAGTAAAAGATCCTTTACATGATTATACAGTATACACTTATGATTCTGTGATCTTATTAGCCAGTTCGGTTGTTCATTTCTTAAGAGAAAATCCTGCTGCGGCATCTGCCCTCAATCATCCAGAGGTTTCTGAAACTCTCAGATCTCTTGTTGCTTGAACTAATTGCCATTATCGTTTTCAAACCGGTGACTCTGCTACAGGTCAATCGAATGAAGTTGGTGGACTTGTCGCAGGTATTAATGATGATAATTTTGGTATAGATGCCGACTTTCAGTTGGCCGGTGATTATTATGGTGCCCGTAGTCAAAGTCCTGAATCGGCATCAATATTTAGAATTTAATGATCATAATGAGAGAATTGCAGGTCATTGTTTGTTAAAACAAGGACATTTTAATACTACTGCACCGATTATTATGCGGTCAAACAAAAGTTGCGAAGAGACTCAAGAACAAGATCAAAAGCAACGAAATTCTCAATCTTACGATCCATTTAGTCATATGCTCACATCTGATTATGTGTCAAATAAATATGACTGGAAAACAACTAATGCTCCATTTCTTTATGACGAAGCTTTCCGTTGCATGGGGTTTGGACAAAACATGGATCAACGTTAGTTCAGATTAACTGTCAACCCACAGCTGCACCATAATATTAGGGTTCTTTTGAAGTTGACAATAACTCTCCTGACTTCTAGCAGCCTCCTCATATCTCCAGACTATCAGCATTGCACAGTAATCGACATTTTGAGTTGTTCGTTATAATCACTGACAATGCGCTGATTAATATGCATTGGAATTCCCAGAAGGGAACCTCACTTGGTAAAATGGTGGAAATCTAGGCGAAACCTGGAAATGGTACATGACCATGATGCCGTATAGATGCCTTGTCCTGCTGGCAGATTAAAATCACATGACTAGTCCTTGCCGAAGCCGCGTATGGTCTCATACAAACTAATCCCTTCATTTAGAAATCCTCTGGTATGATCGTTCATAACTTTTCCTACCTTTTAAATTATCTGAAGTACAATTTCAGATGTAAAATACTTGTCGCTTCATCTGTCTGCTTGTTTGGACAAGCAGGACAGAAATATATCCTTCTGCCTTCCTAACACCTGCTTTTCTAGGAACTTCCAGGACAAGGTTTGGAATGAGATGCAGAGACATTCGGCAGAGGGCAAGTGGATGGTTTTGGGCAATTATATGGCATATCCCTCTTTGAAATGGCGCCACCCTTTTTATCCGGTGGGTTCTGTTGCATTTCAATAAATAAGCCGAATACACTAACATTATCCCATGAAAATCCAAAAATATACGTTCAACCTTTAAATATGATGCCTCCTTTAATCCATTACATTGCGCAGATAGCAGTATCAAACAATATTTTCTGATTAAAGTGCTGCAAGTGTAACGCAGACCAAGAATATAATTCCACCCATATGTACGTCATAAAAAGTTTTTTAATTCAAAATTTCATTTAAAAAGCATGTAAAAATATAGCTTGTCATTAAACCACCATAGTAGCCGACTACAACGCTACAATTGTCGTGGATATGCAATAAAGCCAACCAATGGCCTTTCAAGGATGCTTCCGAATGAACCTGTATTGACCTTTCGAGAAACGTACTCCAAACATATCAGAAAAGAGTCGAATTCTGTGACGTCCGGTTTGCGAATTTCGTCCCATTACACACCAATGAAGTGTTCTTTACCAGGGCTATTTAGCAAGAAATCCCCACAAACAGTGAATTTCCTCTGTGAATCTACTCTGTGTGGGTCTTTACGATTGGCTGCCCACCTTGAAGCCGCGATGATCTCTTTCTAGATTATTACGCTCGTGATATATCCGAAATTTCACTCAAGAAAACTGGTGCTAATCTCAGAGGTATCATTCACCAAATTGCTTGAGCACCTGCCAAGCTCAGCTATTTCCTTCTCGTAGAATTCTGGTTCTGCAAAGTTCCAGTGAGTGTTTCCTTTAATTGATCGCCTAGTTATAAATAGTGCCCCATCAAAGTAGCCTATTTCCGCATTTTGCGACTTCATTGCCACCAGGTATGAATCTCACACAAGGAGTTATCAGTACTGTTTGTAAACTACTATCTTATTTACATCTGTTTACACTTAGACTAATGACCCGTGCAACTGTAAAGGTGCCTCGAGTTTAATCATGCACAGCTCCACTCAGGACCTTCAGATTCAATCGAACCGAGCAAATTACCAATCAGCTTCGTTACAGTTTTCTGAAGACACTAACAACCATTCATCCACACTATAATTTCTTAGAGAAAAATCATGGGTTGTCGGATACGTAACGATGGGTAAAACACAAAGTCTCAAACAAAAATGAACCTCTGAATAAACCTATTTACCCTTATTTGTACAAATATGTGCATTAAATCTCATTCAGTTTCTGAAATCGAAAGTACTGTGAGATTTTTATCATCCTTATGGAGTTCTAATTTTTTCACACCTCATTTTTCAATTTCTTACTTGTAGTAAGTTACAAACAGGACAAATACGTTAACGGCATCCTGCTAGTTATTCGGTTGGACAAATATTCCCCTCTAAAATGAGAAGATTTAGCAAGATCTATAGAAAAACTATGATAAAGAGCTTTTCTCAGCACTGAATATGTTATCTTGAAGGACAATAGTAGTTTCGCCATTAAATCATCCTACTCAGAGAGAATAAAACGACACTGAAAACATCCGTCATGATACACATGTATTGAAAATATGTGACCGTCAAATTGATTATAACGCTTTTCTAACTTGAAATATTCTTGAAGGATGTCCTGCTAAGATCCATAAATATATCTATTTATTTACTGACTAACCGACTGGTTTCAACATAGAGCTTGGCACAGAATCGCAGATGTTCAACTTGACACACTCCATGTAGCATATTTGAAGGCTCGAGATATTTCTGATTTTTATGAGGGCTTAAATCTTTATCTTGAAAAAGATAACAATGAACGCCTTGACAGATCATGCTTCTACCTTTAAAGATATACCGTTCACCCAGCCTATTGTTGAGATGCGACCATGTGGGATCTGCTCAGATTTATGGGGCATCTTATAAATTAACTTGCTGTCTATCGTCAGATCTTTTCATACCACTCCACAATGTCTTATCTCATTTATTTTCTGACTACGTCTTTACTTGATCCTCATTTTACTCCATTAAACTTAACATCTTATAGCTCTTCATTACTTATTATACTCCTACTCTCTGAAGGGTACGGTTGTGCACTAAATGCACAAAAAGGTATAAAATAAAAACAACTGGCATGAGGATAATTGTATTAAAACCAAAAGTGGATATCATGATAGTTTGTGATATATCTGTAGCATTATACATTGCAAATGAATGTTGTTACCCTAGGGTGTTTCCTTTATTAATGCATTTATTAATGATACTTTCACTTACCTATTTCATTACAATTTAATGATTCACCTCAGCACTTTAATTTTTCTAAAACAGATTCCAATCCCTTGTAAAAGGTGTACTTACCTCAATATTGGTTGGTTATCGTATGCCTACAACCACGGGATGAAAACGGAACGAAGTCGATTTTCCCGCTCAACCTGGAGGACAACTGTACAATTCAATAACTATACGGCCTAATTCAGAAAATGAGTGTATTATATGTATCGAATATTTAACAGTTGAAATACGATTAACTTGTAGACAATCTACGATTTGATATTATATCATACTTGATCGTGCCTGTAAAAATGGCATGCATTTTCATGTAAATTTGTAAATTTATATGAAATACATTATTATTATTATTATCATACAAAGGAAGACAATAGAGAGTCAAAGGAGACTCGAAAGAACAATAATAAACGAAAACGTGAGGGAGGAATAATAGCAGAATGGAAAAACAGTAAGCATTAATAGATATGGGAGGTCACAAGGAGTGAACGCCTCTGCGCCACTGCGAACGATTTTCAGCCATATTACCAACAGTTTCAAGATATCAACATCCTGAGGACCCCAAACAATCAGTCTACACCTCCCTACCTGGCTTAGACCAACCATCAAGGAATTCATACACTGATGACAATAACCAACTAACAACAACGGCAGACAGCACCAATCACTATCAGTGGAACAAAACTGAAAGAGGTCACTTCCTTCACTTATCTAGGGAGTCAGCAACGTTTCAACAACATGCAGTCAGAACGGATAAAGTTGTCAAAGCTAGCCAGAATCGGAAAGGCAACGTACACCTTTAACACTCTGAAATCAGTCTGGGAAACCCCTACACTCGGCATCAACAACAAGATTCAGATTTTTGACACCAATGTTAAGTCAGTCAGTTCTTCTATATGGATCAGAAACTCAGCTTTCGTGTCACATAAAGCACTTCCAACAGGCCACTGAAAACTGTTATCAAGAGCTACCTCTGTTCCATACGGAAGATCAGATACCCAGCCGGAAACGAATAGCAACAAAGCACTCTGGGAACTGACCAGCCAAGAGAACTTTGTTCAACAAATATCCTAAAGAAAATAGAGATGAATCGGACATTTAGGTGACAGTTGGTTGACATCGTACGCCATACCCTCGAGTGGAACCCTAATTAGAAACGACGAGATGGGCATTGGAGGATGAAATCCTATACTGCGCTCACAACACAAGTGAATGTTATTACTTCATAGAAAAAGGACTTGTTTTCTATAGAAAACGCTCAAACAAATCATGTTCCTTACCTTTAAAATGCACTAGGTTTATTTTTAATTATTATAGACTTTTATTCCTTTCAAAGTTAACGTAATTTATAGTTTTGCACTGAAATTTGAAACAAAGCTGTTTGAGCTACTCAAATTACATATAAGTAGTGTAGAAAAGCTAACAAAATCTTTAGGTGGTCACATTTATTTTCACATTTGATTCCACTTCCTAATCATCACCCAATTCCTGTACTAATCTATAGAACTCCCATCACCCAATGAAGTCTCAAGTCTGAGTACTAATAAGTCGAGTCGAAACAGAAGGATTTGAGGCTTAGATGTGTTGGACAATGAGACCATCATTCGGCAGAAAAACTTATTGAGTTAATCCTTTAAATAGATGGAACCTGGTTAAATATGAATGTAATGAATGCAGACTAAAGTCCTAAGATGAGATTTCAATGCAAGGATTCTTGTTAAATATTACTTCCAATCATTTGAAATACGCGTCTACAAAACATAGAACATTATATAACATCTTACAAGTGTTAAGCTATCAACCCTCTGACTCCCAATCACGAATTAGCAAAAGTTAGGATTCACAGGACACTGAATTCTATCCATTTGGCCGAACGATACGGTATCCACCTCCTAAACGATATTCCAATAATCATTTCAATTTACTAAGGCTATACAAAGTTACTCAATAAAACTTTGATTTCCCCAAAATGTCTATTTGACAGAGGATCACATTATCTCACCTTATTCGCGTAGGCTATTATTTAAATTTAGAGTGATGAACACTAACAGGATCAAAAACAATTAATGATTAAATCATCCCAATACTTGATGAAATCAACAGTGTGCGCAGCTGCAGAATCCCAAAGTAGCATAAAACAGTTGTTCATTCCTCCCACCTCCCTCCACACGTGA